TTGCAGAAAGCTTTCGATCGAATACAATTAAAGTATATAATACATATTCTTTATGATAAATAAATACAACATCATTAAAACAATCAAAAATATATAATCAGAAAATAAGATTCAACCAAACATAAATGGAGAAGTTCGACATGGGGACTCTCTAAGCCCACTTCTGTTAAACATTGTAGTGGATGAAATTACAAAACAAGTATGCAAACTAAGAGCATGCAAAATGGAAAATAGGTAGGTCATAATCTAATACTACGCAAACGATACGCTGCTTATGGCGGAGAATGCGGATGATTAAAAGAGGTAAATACACCAGTTTAATAAAACAGCAAGAAACACCTCGAAGGCACCGATCAAGTTTATAGTCGATGATAAAATCATACACAAGGAAATGAAATTCAAATATATAGGACTGGAAATATCTGGATACAGCGTTGTTGAGACTGAATTAAGGTACAAAAACGATGAGGAACCTAAAGCCACAATACAGTGAGATAAACATTATTTATTTAAACTGAAGACAGCCCGGATCTACAAGACTGCAATTAAATCTATACTAATTTAGTAGCAGAAACCCCACCTAACACATTCAAAACAAAAAAAATACTAGAGGCTACAAAAATAAAAATAGTGCGTAGAATAGCTGAAAAAACGCTAATGGACAGAAAAAGAAGTAAGAAAATAAGACAAATATACAGGATAGATAGCATCAATGACTAGGTATCACCATTAGGACGAAAGACCATCGGATCACCTAGAAGAGGACGGAGCAACAACTTTTCAAGCAACTAAAGAAGGGTAAAGACGTGACGTTCTTTTTACAATTATGACTAAATACCGAGGGAAGGAAGAAAAAGAAGAAGAATTTGTATGAGCTGTAATGTTGGATGTTTTGTTTGTCCAAGATGGGTATATATTGTTGTTTTCATGCAATGTAACCCCATTTAACATACTCTTCATATAGTTTGCGGATCATATATTAAGCATCATCACCATCCTGTGCAATCACAACTTGATTATCATCAACGTCAAAGTGTAGAGTATTTGGCATTTTCTTTTCCATCTTAGTAATGCGCTTTCTAAATGAACTTTAAACAATGTTGGCAAATTTACAACAACCTTGTTTAAAACCTTTTGTTACTATAAACCCAGCTATTAAGGTATTTTCTATCTTATTTGTGCTCTTGCATTATTATACATATAAAGATTATATAGCTTTTATTATTTTAGCTTTTGTAATAGTATGCTATAAAACTTCGCAGAGTTTTATTACGAGAATACTATTATATGCTTTTTAGATTCACAAAATTCACAAATAATAAATGATCACATTCTAATAATGTGCAATTTTCTTTTCTATGATTTGGGTTAATGTAAATAGATGGTCGAAATTGCTCAATTCTGTTTTTAAGTATTCTTCCATATATGCTGCTGATAGTATTTGTTATACAGTTGTACCTTGTATGGAATTTATATTCTGGAATGTGCCGTATTGGTTAGGAAGAATTACTTTGCATTTTTCAAAAAATGTGAAATATCACATCCTCGAGACACCCGCGGGAAGGTGAATTGCTATCTGGTGCCACCAAAAACGCACCTTACTAAGATTCAAAAGGCGGCTCTGTACCAAAGTATCAAGATTTATGAAGATCAAGAGATTTTTTTCAATTTCGTAGTATTTAATGTTATTTTTTTATAACTATTGAAATACCCTATTCACTATTGGATCTAAGGGGTGTTGAATTTTTGCACATAAAGCAGCTCTTGTTTGAAATATACATAGATTGTATCGATAAGTAAGGTCAAGTTTGGGCTCAAGTTTGTTTTAAATTATTTGATAAAGGTGATAATTGATTAATTTGGATTGGCATTTAATGGTTTGGTCCGTTATTGGCCCATTTCTTCAGTATTTTCCTACTTGTTGTTTCTTCCTTCTAGGTAAAGTTGAGTCTAGAGCATGTTCAGCCACATTTTTCATTCTTTTTTGTAATATTCATTTTACGAATACTTGCTTGTATTTGTTTAGATGCAAGTTTATCGTTTAGATTTTTAGAGCTTAACACAACGTTGTATGATTTTTCTTTTTTTTTCTATTTTTGATTTGATATCGTCATTCCTCCAATATTGCTTTTATCGTTTCTCTTCTTTTTTATGGCTGCCTAGGGCTTCTTGCTGCTGCTTTTATGCATGATTTTAAGTATTCATTCCCTTTTTTTATGCTATCGAATGATGTTTTTTGCAGTTTAGTCCTTCGTCTGCTTTTATACAGTTCTTTTGTGCTTTCATGTTCTAGATCCTATTTGAGTTATATTTTGTTTTTATCGCTATTTCTCTTTTGTCATTTTGTTGTTTCTTTCCCTTTTGTTGTTTGGTGTTATAATTGTTAATATTAATTTAAAAAAGTTGTCAAACGGTTTACGGGAGCGAATTTTGTGGGAATTGTTTTTTGAGGATAATTAAGGAGTAGAGAAGTTGAATACATGTTGACAGTTCATAATTCCGATTCGTAGGCGTTAATTACCGGGTCGGGACGGCGAGGGTTGAAACTTTTCTCACGATTCGCAACCAACTTTTCGCACAATGCCGCAGTCGTGGGACCCGAATCCGCAACTCCGCAACGGCACAAAACTCTCCCCCCGAAAAGTTGCGGAGCGTATGACACGCAAATGCATTCGCGGTTCGCTGCACTCGGATTCCGTACGTGGATTGGAACGCGAGCATTCATTCTGGCCTTTTTGCTACCGGTTTTTATTTTCTAGTTGCCCCGAGTGGCGAAATTATCGGTCGAAACGGTATCGTTTTCGGACACGATGTTTTTTTGAAACCTTTTTGTATCTGATGGTCGGTTGCGCATGCTGCTCCCGGAACCGTTATTCGCTTATTTTGGCACGTGTGGACGTCCGCAAATTCCCCTTCAACTATCTAATTAAAAAATAATAATCATGCGGTGTCGTTCCATGTGTGCCAACTCGTTGCTCGTTTTCATCATGTTCAAAAAAAATTTTTTTGTTTGCTTTTCTGTAATATAAAGGGATTTTGTGGAAGTTGGTTAATTGGATTTCAAAATTACACATTCACGTAATAAATCAAAGGAAACGCCATGGTGGTATCAACTTTATAATTAACACAATGTCTTATATTTATTATTATTCTAATAGTTATTACTGTAATTACATTTGTTGTATGTAATTAACGGCAGTGGTAAAGCATCGAATCGACATTCAAAAGGACCACGTCCAGAAAGTTTCTGTGTATGTTTACGCGATTTCTCGTTAGTAGAACAAAGGCGACGTTATTCCCTTTAATTAGAGAACTTTTGCGTTGTCTAATTACCGCGCCAACTACTGTTTCAAAAAAACTTGCATGAGACGACTGCAAACGATGTTTTAAGTCATCGTTTGCATCAATAAGAGAAAGAAGGAAAAGAACACCATATCAAAGTGGATTATTTTCGTCCGTGCTTTTGCAATATCAACTAAAAACAGTGTGAGCTTTAAAATTTCAACGTATTACTTCGATTACTTTCGCAGATAGTTTTGTGGGGTTATCAAAGTCATCGATAAAATTTAACTATTTTAGAGCGCCCGCATTTTAAGGAGTTATAGGTAAGGGCAGGATTACGTCGATTTAGCGTCTTGTCTGGTCCGGCGATTACAGGAGGCGTTACTCGAGGGTGGCGAGGAAGGCAACCTGAACGTGACTGCAGGATAAGATTAGAGAACAAGCCACAATTAGCGTCGAGGCTTGTGCATCCTAATTGCTGCGGACCCCACCTAAATCTATAATTTTATGTGAGCCCGGACGAAGTCTCCCTTAGCTTCCCGCCCGTCGTACGACTTCTCCTGGATTCCCTCGTTCCCGTTCTATTCCGGTACGCGCGTTTAGTCGGATCGTAGAACAACGACTTCGCACCGCATTTGCTCTTGGAATAATTGTTCATGGTTCGCGAAGCCGATTTCAAACTTTGCAAAATGCATATCTAACTAGTTGGTAATCTCGGCGATTGCTATGTAAGGTTATCTTTAAAGAAAACAACGAAAACAAAAAAAGTGTTACTTATTAGTATTTAATATATTATTATTAGTTGTGAGGTTTAATATTTAAATGACATTTTTGTTATTATGTTTTCACAAAAACAATAATTGCAAAATTCTAAATAGATTTTTTATAGAGACCTCCATTATAATCGAGGAAATGTAATAGATTTTGGCGACGTAACCCCGATGGAACTCGATGCCATGTAATGGTAATGCACGTCAGTTAACTGTCGGATGCCCAACACTGCACTTTCGGATTAGTTTCCATACCCCTACTATGAACCGAAAATTCGATTATACATAGTTCCTGTTGCCCCACATAGTAATTGACCTATAGCTCTGTGTAAAGACATTGTAATAAAATATTAATGTTGCAATTAAAACTCGAAATAAATCAAAGCAAGAATTCCTTGTGCAAAACATAGTTTTGGCAACACGAGAAAATTAGAATTTATTGAAATCGTATTACCATTTCGTTCGATTGTTGATTTATTATTGTAAAGGTCAAATGTTAACAATAACGAAAAAACTGCGTTGTGTAGTTTGTTGTCACCAATGGACAATTTCCCGGCGGCCGTCACTTTACCCTCCTTTTATTTGCTCAACGCCGTTTCAGACATCAAAAGAACGTTCGTCCCAACAGAGAGAACGCCTGTTGAATCTTCGCCCTTCGGGCGCCGGGTGCTTTCGCAGTGTTTGCTCACCCTCGGTCTGTCACCCCGGAATCAACTTTTGGCGACAAATTTCCCCCATCGCCTTTTTGAAAAGACTGAAAAAAATGTGTTTATAGATCGATCGTGGGTCACTTGACCGACGTTCTATTATAAAAAATCTACTATAAAAAAGTCTTATCGTTTTAAACGTCACAGTTAACTCGTAAATTTCTTTATCTTATATAAAAAATCAGAAAGTACCTAGTTTAAGGTAAGAAATAAGTACTTTTTCTTAAGTATATAAACTTACCAATCGTTTCCCGTTTTCGCAACATTTTGTCGTTTTCTTCCTGTTTGGTGTGGTTTAGGTTCAGCTACCATATTAACATCTGCAAACAAATTAATTTTCTTTTAATTCAAATAAGATACTTAAAATAAACGAAAGAATCTGCACAAGACAGAAAGAAGGGGGACGATCGTTTCTTTATTCCCCCGTTTCCACATCGATTCTACTTCTGCGTCCGGGCAACTTTTAACTTCACGACTCGGCGTTAATTTGTATTCTTAATGTAAATCTTTTCCGTTGCCGGTCGGTCGGACCCAGAAAATTATTATATCGAGAGGACCATTTGCATTCTGAGCGGCGTTCTCGCCGCACGGCCGACTCGATTCAAAGTCGATTCCGCGTTTCGCAAAAGGCGGGTGAGTCGAGGGAACTTTTACCTCTGCTTGTTTGATTTGTACGTCCAATTTCGTACAATCGCGAGAAGCCGATACGGCGGCGCGCACCCTCTTTTCCTCCTATTATCCTTCCTTCGATGCCCCGCGAGCCCCTTTTTTCCTTCTTATTCTTATTCGCCGAGCTCCAGCAAACGAGTGTTGTGAGATCGGAAACCGACTTTGAAAGAGAGGGACGAATTGGGGTATCGAGAAGAAAACCAACGTTAATAATGAAAATGTCTCTTTGGAAATCAATGAGTTTACGACGAAAGAGCTGGGTTTTAACATCCATCGTAATGGAATTTAAGTGTAGCATTGTGAAAAGGGGTTTCTTTTTTACCTCATTTAACAAGTTGGTATCTCATTATATCGTTATTATCATAAGACTTTTTAATTAATTTTAAGCGCAATCCTACCAATTATAGCGTATTATATTTTTGAAATCAATATGAAATCAGTCAAATTATGTCCGATCTAAAAATCCGATCAAAACGAATCACGGAAAATTAGAATGTTTAGGGGTGCATAAGGGTGCATAACGTATTGGTGTAAGATATTTATTTATGTATTTTCGGAAAACGCGGTTAATGCGGTATAAAGTGCTGGCATAATGAGGGCTTTGGAGAGAATATGTTGCCCTGGCTACTTTATGTGTATAGTGAACAGTTTTTTGGGGGTTATACCTCTATATGGAGTGCGAGGGTGCAGAATACCGGACATGTAAAGGATGTCCGCAGAGATCCAGCTAGTTTAGAAGAATCAGAACAACACTGGATGATGGTGTTGAACATAAGCGTGTATGTGAATGAGTTAATTAAGTTGTTTGAAAGTGTGAGGAAAGTGGCAAGATTGGAGAATTGGTTTGGAGGTGTGAACTTGGGATGGAGAAAGCGGACAAGGTGGCTAGGTCAGGTGTCGTTGAAGAAGAGGTAAGGAGTGTATATCTACAGAAGTGGATGGAAAGAAGGGAGGTTGTGAGAGATGTGAGGGAAGCGTGGAGAATAAGATGGATGGAATCTGACCAGAGAAAGGGTGTGTGGATTTCTAAAAGAGGGATGGATAGGTGAACTGATCATATCCAGCAAAGGCATTCAGTTAATGTCAGGGTATAGTCCCTTTAGGGAATATCTTAGGATGTTTAGGTTAACAAGTATTAATGGGGTGTGTGTGTGGAGCAAGCGAGGATTTATTGCAGCATATTCTGCAAGAGTGTATAAGTAGCAGGAAAAAAAAGGGGGAGCGAGGGGAAGGATAAGCTGATTAGTGTTCGATCATTGCGAAGTGTGAATTACAATAAAAGAGATTTTGCAATAGGGAACTATGTTTAACACACTATTTCTTAGTAGCAAGAAGAGAAGATATAGAGAATTTGGCGTAACATTCATAGTAGACAATAAAGTTAAAACTCCTGACAGGGACTTGCAAGCCTTTAACGAGAGAATATGTGTGTTGCGTATTCGCACTCGTTTCAAAATCCAAAACTGCGAAGAGAGGTGTAGTTTACAAGTACGATAGAGAAATACTCATTGCACGGAGAAAGCAATGTGAATGGACAATTCGTAATATACTTTGCCACTAATAAACAGTAAGTATAACAGTAAGCTTAACAGCATGTTGAGATTGAACATGCTTCTCCTACAGAAATATTCACAAAACATGGAGAAACATAGAGAGCACCGGATGGAACTCACAGCAACCCAAATAGACCTCTGCGAAGCTGCGAATGATACCTTACATGTCAAAACAATAAATCAACAACATGCTGCCGCTTCCTGGTAAAAGCAAAATTCAGATATCGAATATCCAAGAATAATACCATCAGGGCAAAGAAAAATACAGAAACTTTATAGGGAGAGAGTATAGTTTCCAAACGTAAGGACAAACTTTGAAAGAGAACAACTGACACAACTGTGTAGAAACAAGAAAAGGAAGTATGTCAATAATCTAATAAATACATAATGCAAAAGGACTTGGGAAGAATAATATGAGGCTGACCACTGTTTGTTTGAGACATATGATAAACAAAAATTATTAATTGCCATCATGCATTTTGACAGCTCTAGTTCTACCAACATCTACCTCTAATTTTGAAGAATTACGAAATAATTGATCTAATTCTATATCTCAGTACTATTACGCATTATATTGTTCAAATGGTGAGTGATATTCCATCTTTTTCGGATTATGAGTAAATTCAATTTAAAAAGAGTTTGTAATGAAATCGGACATTACGAAGTTGGATCACTATAATAACAGAAGCACATCTTGGAGAAGTGAGTCCTGTAATTCGGCAATCGAATGGGGAAAAGAACAATAATAAGAAAATTGTAAGAAAAGAAGTTATGCGTGGAGGAGATTCTGTGAAATATAATATCGGTAGCGCAATAATTTTGAAAATTATAGGTCAAAATGATCGTTTACGAGGTTCCGAACGTCTGATACACAACCGTCGATCGAGCGATTGCAACATTCAAACCATTAAGGTTGTATATATTATAATTGTTTTTAGATATTCCGATAAAAATGTTCAATACGAATGTTAACCCAATTATGCGTACAAAGTGGAAAAATCTGTGAAAGCATCTCTGAATAACTTGGTAATATTCAAAAGTATTAAGGAAAAGGAGTTCATGGCTTCCTGCAAAAGCTGCTCCTTACAGAGGAGTACAGTCAACTACGGCTCTTTATCAATACATTCAAAATTCTAACAGAAAATTTGTGGAAAAAATTATCATCTGGCCCTTAAAGAAGTTACTAGGTTTTCGTATCTGTAAATGATTACGATTACGAGTCTTGCTTATCGCAGATTCAATCTATAAACGAATTTGCAATTTCAGGTGGAATAAGTCCCACGCCAAATCATGTAATTAATATTCTGATTGGCCCACTCCCAATGAATTTACACAACGAGAGATTGTTAAGTACGACTATTTATTTTCTTTGTTTATTTATTGTTTGAGATTTAATTAGTCAACATCCGAGTAAAGTATCGACTAAAATATAATTTACAAGTTACATAAAGTGACGTTACCAAAAATAACAAAGCCATCAGGCTCTCTAAGGACAACAATCATAATAGGGTGCGAAATGTGAAAAATTTTAATTGAAACCATAGGACTCTTTAAAAGCACAGATGTTAGAGTTAGAATACTGTTTTCGTGTGCAAAAAATTTAGGTAAAATTTATGTAAAAGATGTTCTAATTATAAAACCTAAACCTTGCATTACTTTAGAAGAACTTGATTCAATATGTTCATCTATAATTTGGAGTCCACAGCTAGTTCAAGACGTTAACACATGAACTAGTTTGCAATAGTTCATCTGCGAATGTTTAGGGATAATTTACAGGCTAGCGCTTCCTACTTGCTAAACTTATTTTACTACATTTGATGTGGTTTAAGGCTTCCTGTAGCAGAGCACAATCAAACACATAATAAAATTTTAGAGTCGTCCACGTATAATAAAACCCTTGAGTAACAGAAACACTTACTAATTCCATTAATATACACTAATGAAAGTATAAAATCCAGATAACTTCCCCGTGATACGCCGGAAGTAACGGGCACAGAGCAGAATGAGAAGTTATGAAGTTTCACCGCTTGAAGTCTATTAAACATGTAGAACCCTAGCCGCCAGATAATAATTGCTTGCTAATTGCTACTAGCGTTTTATTCTACAATTAAATTTGTATGATTACACAATCTTTCCAAAACTTTTTAATAATACTGTTGATTTGATTAAAACATTATTGACCAATAATCATTTTCTCAAACAGACAAATCGCTTTCCAGAAGCTGCAAGTAATGAAAGAATCGTCGGCAATAACTTTAAAAGAACATTAAGACATTTGGCGGTATAAACAGACCGGGATTCTTCATCATCTCATCATATTAACGTAAAACAAAAAGATTAGCTTCCTGGCATGGTACATAGGGCTCTCAGCAATAAAGATTACGAAAAATAATATATTGATGATATTGGCGTATTTACGTATTCAATTATCATCAAAGCTGCATCGATTAAAATTATTTTTAGCTGTACTGAGTGTTTCACTATTCCAGGAGCGCACTTAACTTAATTTTTTTAAATGGAATCCTACGTATCTTTTTACATATGCTGTCTTAAATTATTATTAAATATTAAGTGTTGCAATTTGGCATGTCGATAAACAAGCCTTGGGTTTTTCGAATACTGCTAATACTAGTGAATGTTATTATACAGAATGTTTATCAGAAGCGATTAATTTACACAATCTTTGGAGAACCATAATTTTGTTATTTTAAATGAAACACCCCGTATTTTTCTAAGGCTTCGGAAGGCTTTACTAAATTTAAATTTAACCTTTCATTTTTGTTAAGTAAGTATGGAGATTTTGTAATAAAGTATGGAGTATTCTCATTTACGGAGAATCAAAGCAACGTCAATAAAAAGATATTTTACAAGACCAAACTAAGGTTTATTTATGTATTACGACTTCATGTCCGTTATATGGAAATTCAAGATTAGGCAATGGAACTCCTTAACGAGTTAAAAATAGGAGCAACTAGACGTCAATGCAATGGAAACTACGATATTAGTTTGGATATTTGTTAATTTTAATTTATTTGTAAAATACTTATAAAATTTGATTGAATTCTGGAGTTCAATAACGTTCTATATTTGTAAAAATA